GGTCAACTTTCCTGCTTCTCTGATGCTGCCTGGCCTGCTGTGTTCCTCCAGCTCCACACCTTGTTATCTCTAACTCCAGCATTTGCAGTTCTTACTATCTCTGAGTCGCTCATATTGAGACGTAGTTTAAGTGGGATTAGTGGGGATGGGTTGGCACAGACTCGATGGGCCCAAGGGCTTCTTCTGAGCTTGAAGGAGGGACTGTGTGCTTTCTTGAACTGACTGAGATCCAAAACAGAAGATTTAATTTGATACAGGAGTCCAGAACCACGGCTCACAGTCTAAGGATATGGAGGAGGCTCTTTAGGACAGAGATGAGGAGAAATGTCTTCACCCAGAGAGTGGGGAGCCTGTGGAATTCTCTGCCACAGATTGAGGCTGAAACATTCTTTTCAAGAAGAACAAAAACAAAGTTTTTGGAAAAGCTCAGCAGGTCCGGCAGCATCTGTGAAGGAAAGAAATCAGAGTTAACGTTTCGGGTCCGGTTCTGAGGAAGGGTCACTGGACCCGAAACCTTAACTCTGTTTTCTCCTTCACAGACGCTGCCAGACCTGCTGAGCTTTTCCAGCAACTTCTGTTTTTGTTCCTGACCTACAGCGTCCGCAGTTCTTTCGGTTTTTACTTTTCAAGAAGAAGTTAGGTTTAGTTCTCAGGGCTAAAGGGATCGAAGGGTACGGGGGTGAAAATGCGAACATGCAACTGAGCTGGATGACCAGCCACGGTCGTAATGAACAACAGGGCGGGCTTGATGGGCAGAATGGACCACTGCTTCTGTTTCCTGTGTATGTTTCTCACGCTGGGCTTGCTGCCACGTTCTCTGTCCTAGGCTGAGCCAAGCAACAAAGTCAGGCAACCAGGGAGCTGCTGTCCCATCAACAACAACTAAATTGGACTTGCTGAAGGAAGATGTGGAAGAGATCTGGAGACGAGTCGAACTGTGTAAGGTTCGTGTGGAATTCGGTACCAGGAGGTCGGCGAGGGGTGGTGTACGGGGCGGGGGGGGGGGGGGAGGGGGGGTAGGGGTGTTAGTGGCAAGGTGTGCTGTCCTGAGAGAAAACAGCCAATGCTGGAGGTCACAGCGGGTCAGACAGCATCCGTGGAGAGAGAGCAGGCTAATGTTTCGAGTCTACATGACTCTTCATTGGAGCCATGTACATTAGCTCGCTCTCTCTCCACAGATGCTGCCTGACCCGCTGTGATTTCCAGCAGTTTTTTGTTTTCAGTACAGATTTCAGCATCTGTAATAATTTGTTCCTTTTGTCCTTATAGAGTTGGCTCATAGACTCCTACAGAGTCCACACTGTGTACCACCTTCAGGTCACTGCTTAAAGTTTAAGCTCGAAGCGATACAAACCAAGTTTAAATCCAGCGCCCTCTCAATCTAAATCATTCCCAGGACCATGGTGGTGAACCTACATTGATAGCCCAGTTAGCCCTTTCCTGAACGTGGTGTGGCCAGAACTGAATGTGGCTGTTGCAGTATCGAGCCTCTCTATAGGCTGAAGTTTCACCCCCCAGCCCTTTGTACACCGATGCCCCCACAGTGAGGTATTACCGTTTTACTTCTCGCTAGCTCCTGGTCTCTCGCTGTGAAGAAAATATTGCGACTTGTCTTCCTCAGGTCCAGAATGGCTGGCCGCTCACGTCCCCCACATTGAGCTGGATTTGTTTAAAAGGGGCACTTGGCCCCTCCCTCCTCCCAATACTGGGGGTAATCTGAAAGGGAGTGAAAGAGGGCAAATTAATGGCCATTTATCTGATTCCAGGATGAATACGCAGCTGATCTTTATCACTTTGCCAGCAAGGAAGAGGAATACTCCAATTACTTTTACTCCGTAAGTAACGAGATGTCCCAGATATTTGATTCGATTATTGATTGTCATGTGTATCGTGTTACAAACACAGTGAAAAAGTGTTGTATAGTGTCACCATTCTCCGGCACTAAGTTAAAACCCAGAAAAATAAACAAAAACATAGAATATAAAGGCAGAAAAATTAAGAAATAAAGTGTCCCACTTTACAGTCCATCTTGTTAAGTGCTCTGCCATGGGCCTGGTGATCAGGTACGAGTCCCCTTCACTGCGAGGCTGCTGGAATGGAAACTGCCGCTCTACAGTGCCATCTCACCCCCACCAACACCCTCGCCACTCTTTGTCCTTGCTGGGCCTCACCAACGTAGATGCCACTGATGCTGTCAGGTCTGGCCCAAACTTGCCTCTGCTGCTACCATGTGTCTACTTCAGGCCCACCTCGCCGATACATCTGCTGCCGATGCCGCCAGGTCTTGTATTGAGCCCAAACTTGCTTCCGTGCTGCTGGGCCCACTCGAGTCCGTGCTGCTGGGCCTGCTCCAATCCGTGCTGCTGGGCCTGCTCCAAACCGTGCTGCTGGGCCTGCTCCAAACCGTGCTGCTGGGCCTGCTCCAATCCGTGCTGCTGAGCCTGCTCCAATCCGTGCTGCTGGGCCTGCTCCAACCCGTGCTGCTAGGCCTGCTCCAATCCGTGCTGCTAGGCCTGCTCCAAACCGTGCTGCTAGGCCTGCTCCAATCCCTGCTGCTAGTCCTGATCCAAACCGTGCTGCTAGGCCGGCTCCAATCCGTGCTGCTAGGCCTGCTCCAAACCGTGCTGCTAGGCCTGCTCCAATCCGTGCTGCTAGGCCTGCTCCAATCCGTGCTGCTAGGCCGGCTCCAAACCATGCTGCTAGGCCTGCTCCAGTCCATGCTGCTAGGCCTGCTCCAATCCATGCTGCTAGGCCTGCTCCAATCCATGCTGCTAGCCTGCTCCAATCCATGCTGCTAGCCTGCTCCAGTCCATGCTGCTAGGCCTACTCCAATCCATGCTGCTAGGCCTGCTCCAATCCATGCTGCTAGGCCTACTCCAAACCATGCTGCTAGGCCTGCTCCAGTGCATGCTGTTAGCCTGCTCCAGTCCATGCTGCTAGGCCTGCTCCAATCCATGCTGCTAGGCCTGCTCCAATCCATGCTGCTAGGCCTGCTCCAAACCATGCTGCTAGGCCTGTTCCAGTGCATGCTGCTAGGCCTGTTCCAGTGCATGCTGCTAGCCTGCTCCAGTCCATGCTGCTAGGCCTACTTCAATCCATGCTGCTAGGCCTGCTCTAATCCATGCTGCTAGCCTGCTCCAAACCATGCTGCTAGGCCTGCTCCAGTGCATGCTGCTAGCCTGCTCCAGTCCATGCTGCTAGGCCTACTTCAATCCATGCTGCTAGGCCTGCTCCAATCCATGCTGCTAGGCCTGTTCCAGTCCTCGCCTCTGGGCCAACTCGCCAACGCCAATCCCATAGCCATGACTGAGCTCTTCGCCAAGAGGTAAGTAAATTAAAATAGAAGTGAAATAAATAAGAGAAGAAAGAAAATAAAGAGCCAAAAAGAAAAGCAGACAGAGTAAACAGACTCCTGGCTCAGAAGCCCTATTCCACCGCCACCTATCGGAGTGACTGAGAGTCTTCACCTCCTCAGCCTGAGGGCAGGCAACTGAAAGGAGAGGCATTAATGGAATCATAATCAAACCATAGTTCTAGTCCCCTTGCTGCTGCAGACCAAGAAGGGCGTCTCACTGGCGAGGAGGGAACTTCAGACCACTGACAGGAATCTTGTCACCTGATGACTATTTGTTCTGTCACATTAGAGTTTGTAAGGGTTAATGTGTGGCACAGGGTAAATAACACCCATCATATTAATTGAGAGACAGGAAAGAATGATCACAGCTTTAGCAATTTAAGGCCTAAGTTGGCATTTATTGTTAAAAGAATAGAGTATAAAAGTAAGGAAGTGTTGCTGCAAATGTACAAGCATTAGTGAGACCATACCTGAGGTATTGCATACAGTTTTGGTTCCCTTACTTGAGGAGAAATGATCATAGAATCCCTACAGTGTGGAAACAGGCCCTTTGGCCCAACAAGTCCACAATGACCCTCAGAGCATCCCACCCAGACTCATCCCCATATAACCCACCTGATCTACACATCCCTGGACTCTATGGGGCAATTTAGCAAGGCCAATCCACCCTAACCTGCACATCTTTGGAGTGTGGGAGGAAAGCGGAGCACCCGGAGGAAACCCACACAGACACGGGGACAATGTGCAAACTCCGCTCAGACAGTCGCCCGAGGGTGGGATCGAACTGAGAGGCAGCAGTGCTAACCACTGAACCACCATGTCACCATAATTTAGTTACACTGGAGGCAGTTCAGAGGAGGGTCACTAGATTGATTCTAGAAGTGAGTGGTTTGTCATATGAGGAGAGATTGAATAGTTAGGGCTATAGCATCTGGAATTTAGAAGACTGAGAGGAGATCGAATTGATGAATAAAAGATGCTAAAGGGGATTGACATAGTAGACATAGAGAGGACGTTTCTTCATGTTGGGCAATCTAAAAACGAGGGTTCATAGTTTTAGGATAAGAGGTAGCAGACTTAAAAGAGAGATGAGGAGGAAGTACTTCTTTCAAAGGGCCTTGAATCCATTGAATTATCTTCCCCAGAGTGCAGTGGATACCAAGACATTGAGTAAATTTAAGGAGGAGATAGACGGATTTCTAATGAGTGATGGGTTGAAGGTTATGGAGAGCAGGCAGGAAAGTGGAGTTGAAGCTGAGATGAGATCAGCCATAATCGTATTGAATGGGGCAGCAGGCTCAAGGGGCTGAATGGCCTACTCCCGCTCCTAGTTCTGATGTTCTTCAGTTCAATTGTAAGTGGTTCAGTAGTTTCTAACAAACCAGTTGTTGTTCGGACACAGCTACAACTCAGTGCTCATTCTGAACCTTGAGTAACCAACAGAACAAAGATCAATGAATAAAATCCGAAAGAACAGCAGATGCTGTAAATCAGAGCCAAAAGCTCAGTAGGTCTGGTAGCACCTGTGGAGAGAAAGATCTGAGGAAGGGTCACTTGACCCGAAACATTAACTTTGATCTCTCTCCACAGATGCTGCCAGACCTGCTGAGATTTTCCAGCAATTTCTGTTTCTGTTACAGATTTGTGAAGGTGATTCAGAATAAATTGCTGGAGTTCGAGCTTAGAATCACCAGTTGGATGGTTTGTTCAGGCGTCATAGAGTCACAGAGGTTTTACCGCACAGAAAGAGGCCCTTCAGCCCATCGTGTCTGCACTGGTCATCAAACATCGATCTATTCCAGTGCCCTTTTCCAGCACTTGGCCCATAGCCATGTATGTGATATTCACATGCTTATCTAAATATTACTTAAGTGGAGTTAACGGATGGACTTGGGTTTGGATAGTGAAGCCAAGATGAAACTAACAGCATTAACTTACTCAGGAACAAAAACAGAAGTTGCTGGAAAAGCTCAGCAGGTCT